CGTCGCAGGTTAACGGGACACCGAGCTTCGGCCAGCCTGCACCTAATTGCCGGCCACCACGCATTATCGAAGGCTCCCTCTATGTCCAACGATATCAGCACAACGAGCTTCCGCCTTGCGACTTCAGCCCGTATGTACTGAATCATCTCGTAAAGGGAGTCTTCGGTACTGCGTTGTGGCATAAAGCCGTATTGACGGCGGCTAATCTTAGGTGCAGTATGCCATTGGACCCGCCTCACCAGCATTTTCTCCACGATCTTCCCCATGACAGGCAAGAGTCCGATCGGGCGAAACGCTTTAGTCTGTGTGTAGTTCTCCTTATTGGGTTTCCTCAGCACTGCAACCACTGCCTCTTTCCATCTCCTGGGGAAGCACGACAAGGCCAGGCAACGGTTTGCAATTGACAGGAACACCGCCGGATCCAGGGTGATGGCCGCAGAACAAATATCCGCAGTGAGGCCATCCGGGCCAGGCGCCTTCTTTGGGTTGAAGCTCGACACGGACCGCATGAGTTCGTGCATCTTGAAGGGGGGGTCACATGGTTCATCATGCGACCCCACGTTCACACTATTCGCCACTGTTCTCATTTCTACGTGGTCCGCATTGTCATCCCTGTGCCTATCTTCGGGATAGAAAGCTTCAGCTAAGGCCCTGGCCGACTCTACCGCGCTCAGTACAACTCCGTCCCGTACGAGGGGGAGGTCTTCGTGCCTCACTGCGGTACGGCCTATCACCCTGTAAATCCCATCCCACATGGTCTCGCGCCCCTGACGGCCACAAAAATCCTTCCAACTCTGAGTCTGAGCCTTCCTTACCTCGGACTGGTAATTCTCCTTCGCGTGTATGTACTGTTGCACGACCCAACCTCTACGAACCGGCGCCGCGCAGGAAACCCGTCTCTTCTGCCTTAAAAGTTCCCTTTTAAGGCGAGAGAGCTTTTCGGACCACCAGGGCAATCCTGTCCTACCCCTCCTAGGTATCCCCGGCATCGTCTCATTACAGGCTTCCACCACGGTTTCCACATAACTGTCGACTACCTTCTCTAAAACGTCCCTGTCTGTAATATTATCCACTTCCTCTGATGTTAACTTTCTATCTTTCAACTTTGAGGCGAGTTTCTGTCGAAACTCGTCCCAATCAGCCTTTCCAGTATGGTACTTCCGGGTGGAGCGACAGATGTCCGTGCCTGAGGATACC